GATCAGAGCCACAGCCCTGGTGTGAAATCTGCAGTCTTCCTTGTAGCCACTAAACGCGCAAATCGCCCTGGTCTGCGAGTTCCACATGATGGGAGCAGTGATGGCAATCTCAGGATGGGCATAGCGTAGCAGTTGAAGAGCCCCATCAGCTACGTCACTTCCTAGCCAGCCAGGAAACCTGTGGAATTCATCAATTCTCCTGTTCTGGAACTCCTTCATGAATCTGTCATATTCATCATAGAGGAGGACCCTGCCAGGAAGCAACAGCGAAGGACCACGGGGCAGCTCCACCACGACAGCGTGATCAATGACCGGTGCAGCGTCATTCTCGTTCATAGCCATGTGGTAGAAGCATCCCAGCCTGATCTGGTGAGCGAAGTGCCAAAGCTCCGGAGGTGCATCGGCAGCAATCCAATCTTCGATGGAACTGGAAAGGACATCTTGAATCAACGTATATTTCCATTCCACCAAGTCCTCAAGATCCTCTTCATAAGAGTGGAGTTGATCATGTTGGTGAAGCTTCTCAAACCATCGGAAAAGCAACGCCCATCCACACATGTTGAACGGCTGAGGGAAGGCATGGACGAAGGTTTGGATTTTGCGGCCAGTGGTGTCCAACCTGCGAGCAAAAATCTGAGTCAGTCGGTGAGCCTTCAAACTGTCTAGGCCGAGGAAAGTGATACGCACTTCATCGCCACACCGGGTCAGTTCACTGCCAAACCAATGGCTACCAGAGAGGATGGCAAACCACGTAGTGGAGTCAGGGTGAACCTGCGGGAAACGTAGACTCATCAAAGTCAGACTCTTGTTCTTGCCACTGTACGATTGCGAATGATCTTGCATGAGCCTCTTGATCCATGAGCAACCATTTCATGGCATAGAGGAGCTCGTCGGAGGCACACCAGCCATTGGTATTGATGGCGAATTCACACCTTTCTGAGAGATTGGCTCCTGATCTCAAATGCCATGTGACATGATCCGATTGAGGATGTCCACCAGCAAAGATTCTCTGAGCGTTCTCCACCCGGCGAAGCTGTGGATCTTGATGCACCAGAGAAAACACGTCACCATTCTTGCACTCATGTGATTGGAGACCATCAAACGTGGTCCCATTGATGCGCTGGATGAGGTAGGATTGTTCTTGCCGAACCACACGCGTTTGAGGAGTGACGAATCCTTTGAGTTCAATGACTTGGAGATCAATGATCGACGTGAGGTTCTCCAAGATAATGCAGTTCTGCGATGACCGCGGGTCAGATAGGACCCACCACTCGTGCTGCGGCAGCCGAACAGAGCGACCTTCAAGGTGGTGGAAACTCCACTGGAAGAATCCAAAACGATGGAGAATTCCGTGGATTTCTTCAAAGTCAGTCCCATCGGCTCTGGACGTGACAAACACGATCTGAGGGTCCACACAACACAGCACTGTGGGGATCGCATTCTCAATCTGTCCAAAGAGGCCATTCTCGGAGGCGGTCTCAAAGAACTTGATCAACGCAAGAAAATCATCTTTCACACTCTCCTGGTCAAACGATGAGTCCGGCACCTGGATCGTCTCAATCTGATCAACTGTAGCAAAAGGGCACGTAGGTGAGACCTCAGGATCATCAGTTATGCTGTTGCTCTCTGCCAGATGGATGGTGGCGACAGTGGTTGCAGCGGCACATAGTTCCCACGACCAGGACAAAAGTGTCAAGTCATTGATGGATTCAATAGCTGACGCTACCACCGGTCCATGTCGAAGGGTGAACTGAGAAGCAGTATGTGTCGCAAGGGGGACACAAGAGGAGAGAAATTGAGCAACAGTCAAGTCTCCATTGCAAGATCCTTCAACATGTTCCGAACCACTGATGGGCGTGAGAACGAACTTCAAAGCACCACCGGCCATCGGGAAAGGTCGAAACGACAGCCTTTCACAGAGAAGGCTAGCTTTGACAATGGATAAAAAGTTCCCTTCAACAACAATGACAGCATTCTGAGTGGTAAGACGACTGTTCCAGACCTTGTGAACAAGATTCTCAATGTTGAGATGTTCCTGATTGATGGCTTGGAGCCCTACAAGCAAAGCAAGAGCGGCTTGCGGGACCGAAATTGCATTGCCAAAACCATGAAAGGCCTCAATGGGATCAACTGGGAGCGAGACTCTCTTGACCCCCCCAAGTAAAGCAGCAATACGAGTGGGCTCAATCAGGGAAAAAGAACCCTCATGGACAACAAGCGAAGCGAAGATGCCCTTTTGGGCAAGATGCATCGAATCTAGTTCATGCTGCCTCCCATACATGGCACAACAGGTGGGCAAGGGTTCCGACCTCGAGGCGACCCTGTGCATCAAAACATGTTCCCTATCTATCACGGTCGAAAGTCGAGCCTTCTTTGCAGGCGGCAGGAACTGGCGAGAACCATAGACCTCCATCATATTCTCCGAGAGGCGCAAACCATCCTGGAATTCCTGAGGCACAGCGAACGAGGAGAGGGGACTATGCCATGGAACCTTGACCTCGGCACAAAGGCTATACTGACGAGAATTCTGTTCATGCTCATGGTCGGCACGAATCCACACCGAAAGCCATCTATCTCTCTTGTTGTCGGAGAGATGGTGATATTGCACGACCTGTTGCCAGACACGTTTAAAACCCCCTAGCTTCAGAATGTGAGAGACCAACCCGAAGTGGTGATGCTGGCAAATCTCGTCGGCACATTCAAAGATCTGAAGGTTTGGTCTCAAGGCCAGGATGTCAATCACAGCCTCCACGAAAGCAAAACCAGGGTCGGAATTAAGCCCCTGTGACTTTCCCCCTTTACTCCAAGAGACACAAGGTGGTGAAGCCGTTCCAACCGAGTTCAAAAGAAAGCTCACCTGATGCATGAACGAAATATCATCCACAGGAGTGCAGACTCCAATATGACTGCTTGGGTTCCATGGATGGGAGGATGGCGTCCTCCCCTGATGATACGGTGCACCAACCTGTCTAGACCATTGATCCATCGTGACTGGATCACTGTCAATGCAAACCTGCTGACCAAGAGGGGGCCATGAGGCATTCTCAAAAAGACACTCACACGCTTGGGACCAACCTCCAAAAGAACCCGAAAACAGGTGAAAAGCATTCACCGGCGATTCCCAGTCCCACTTCGGAGTCGGCGTCAGGCAAACATCCTCACAAAAGACAATGGCATCATCAGTAAAAGATTCAAACTTGCCGAATAGAGTGAGCAGATCACCCGACTCCCAACGCATCGATCGAGAGGACAATTTGGGAATGAACACTTCCCACAACACTTCATTCTTCTCCACAAATCCGATTCCAGGGCAGAAAAGGTAGGGGATAAGCTTCACACCGTCCTCAGCAATGTCCACAATCCTCCCTTGGAGGAGGCACATCCCTGAAAAGCAGACACGGAAGCCTGCCGTCCCGAGAGCACCAACCAGCTCAATCACCCGGGATTGCCAAGGTTCAACCAACTTCGAACGAATCATTGCGACCAAGCGGGGCATCACATCGTCTCTAAACCCAGTCTGAGGCACAAGTAGGCTCGACATCACAAGGACCGAGAAGAAGCCTAAAAGAAAGGCGACTTTGTCGACGTCGCACCTAGGTCTAAGAGAACCTAGCCAGCAACCCTGGGTGTCTCGTGCACCCTGAGCCCTGCGGCCTTGAACCTGGAGGGCTAGGTAGTCTGTTCTGTTCATTCTTGGTGGTCAACCAGGGTGTCCCGGTTTTGATCTACAGCCACATGTGCCCAGAAGAAAGCTTGCCTTCGCGGTGGTGGTCTTTTTGGAAAGACATGCCACCAAGCGAATGAATCTGCCATTTAGGTTTCGGTGCTTATATCCACAGTTTCTACAGGGGGGCTTATCTAGAATCTAGAAGGTGTTTGTGCCACGGGGACCTCTGTTTGCCGAGAGTAAACGATCATCTTGCAATGTCCTGTCACCAATTGGCAGGACAGGAATATCAATCCAAGACCTCCACAGTTGCACCACTCAATCTGCAAGAGCAAGGCTAATTTGCGTCAATCTGCTGGTGCTCACCCGATTAAATAGAAACCGCTGTGTTGCAACCATTTCGCCAGAGGGTTAGGCTCAGGGCCGCCCTCGATCCCTAAGGGCCGCCCTGCGCGGTTCGACATCACTAAACGGATCGAACGATCTGTCGTAGCGTCCGAAATCGCTCCGTTCGTAGCGAATTGGTGCGAATGCAGAATATAATCTCCAAATCAAAATCAAGATCAATGCTGAACTTCAGGTCCAGGCATATCCAGAGGAATGGTAGCTGGATCCATAAGAATGGCCATAGCCCTGGAAGCCCCAAATCAAAAGTAGGGATGCAACTTGAGCTGTAGTAAGGTCCAGGCAGATCCAAAGGAGCCAGAGTGGTGGTAGCTTCGATAGGAGCCAGAATGACCGTAGCCCTGCATGACATAGGAACAAGCAACTTGATGCACATTCAAGGTCATTGCAACCCTTGGTGAAATCAGCTCCAGGCAGATCCAAAGGAGCCAGAATGGTGCCAGCTGCCCTGAGTGTGGACAAAATCCACAAACAGCTCTTTACATTTAATGCCCAAGTTCAAGAGAAAAAGAGTTCAAGTGACAATCCTACCAAGCTCCAGGCCGATCCATACGAGCCGGAATGCCCGTAGCCCTGGCAGGTCCGCAAACTTGTCCAACATGAGAATGCCGATCGGTTGAGCTCCAGACAGATCCAAAAGAGCCAGAATGGTGCCAGCTGCCCTGCACACGGGATCAACACAGGTCCTTCCGATTGGCTCGCACTACGGATCGGTACAGCATCTGCGTGTAAGCCTGTGTACTATTCACCAGCATTTCTTGACGGCACTCCAACCATGTTTCCAAATGCTCTACATGAGGGCCCAAACCTTCAGCCTCGCGTCTTCACTGTGACTCATGATGTGTTGAGGATTATTTGGAGTAAGCCGGTGGCCAAAGCTCAAACACATTCAGAAACATATTCTCAGACTGGTTCAAACCATGTTTCACTAACGCTTGCCAGTCTCAGCACAGAATCTGTCTGGATCTTCATCTTCCCAGCACAGAGGTCCCGGCACCATACGAGCCAGATCCCTGACGTTCAAGCCACGACTGACCGTCATGGATAGTGACCCGATGTGACACGTGTCCTGAGGCGTCCACCGATCCCCAGCCGCTGGAGCCGGAGCCGCCCTGAGGTGAAACAGCCGGTGGGACGTATCCCCGCCCTACCTAATAGCAAAAGGATCCTCATAGCGATGGCCTCCAACCTACTAGCGATGGCAATGAAATATGTGGAGTATACGGTTACGAAGAACGCATCTGAGATCTAGGCAAATCCTCCAGAGCCAGAACTGGAATCCTGAAGCCGATGTGAAGCTGGTGGAATGGACTAGATCAACTAGATCGACTAGATCTATATCTGGGATGGAGAGCTCTCTGTTTCCAGTTTTAAAAATAGTCAAGTCTGGAAAGTCTCGGATGGCAAGTCTGGAGCTGCACGTCACGAGAGTTCTTGGACGTCAAGGGTCTCAGATTCAAAGAAATACGCATTCGTCCGGAGAATTTGTGATCCTTCATGATCCTTCCAGTAAAGTACATGATCTTTCTGTGAAAAATGTTGAAATGAGTGTGTATTAAAATGGGGGGACCTCCCAGGCCTTCCGACCCCCTGGAAGGTTCGGGAAATGGACCCAAACCTACTGGGACTCCCTATTAAAATACACCCAAATCTTCAAAGCAAACATCCACAGCTGGCCCTTCGCTGGCCGTTCACAACAGCCTTCGGCGAGCTGAGTTCTGAGAGCCCAGCTTCTCCGCCAATGCCTCAAACGGAGTGAGTGGAGTTTCATGACAGGTCGAAGATCAGATGCCGACGACAGATTCGGATCTCACAAGATTCTATACCATGTACATTCTCCCCAAGCCATTGCCAGAGTGATCCCGGAGTGATGACCAGTAGGGAAGGTAGAAAGGTAGCATCAAACTAGATGCAAAACCCAGCGTTTCACAGCCCCGAGTCTTCAGAACATCTCACCCTTATCACTGCCAAGATGCTGCATTGATCCTGGCACGGCGCTGCGGTGGCGAAAAAGCACCCGGCAGGTTGAAACATCGATTGCTCCGACTACTCAAGGTTCAACGAGAATCACAGACAGCTTCTGCAATCATGGAAAGAATGAAAACTGAACATGACAGCCCCATGTTTTTGGGCACGTGCAACCGATTCTCCCATATTCTCCCGGTAAAACAGACTCCATCCAGCCTGGCAATCGTCTTCTGGGAAAGGCCCATCAGATGCCGGTCGGCAGGCACCACCAGAGCTGCAGATGTCGAGGGCACGACGGTTTGCGCTGGACATGGGGCACGGGAGCCCAAAGGGATGGTGTAGCTGGGCCACAGGGGCGCGACCCCGAGATGAGGACTCTGGAGACCGTGCTTGACGCGTTGCCTTCGCGAAGCAACACGTTGTTGGAGGTGCGTCGAAAGCGGAGGTCTCCCGAAGCAAAATCCATGCGGGACGTCTCTCGAAAGATCGTCCCAAAGCTGCCATTGAAAGTAACTCTTCCATCTACAGCAAGTTGGATCAACTAAAGTTTGATGGAGAGAGAGAGAGAGATATAGAGAGAGAGAGCGAGAGCGAGAGCGAGAGTGAGTGTGGTGTGTGGTGTGGTTACAGTTCCAGTGTTTGATTTAAGGCGCTTTACTCCCAAACAAGCGGCCCAGCGCCAAAAACGCCCGGCACCTCTGGTAGGCCGCCTCCGATGTTTGCCGCGTCAACTTATGAAGACCTCGTCGCGTCCGTTTTGGGGCGCGGGAGACGGTGACCGCCTCGTCGCCCTATCACGATGCCGAGGGGCAGTGGTAGCCCATGATTTGGGAAGGATTCTTCCAGTCTTCTGGACCTGAAGGCGGCCAAGGCAAAGGCAAAAAAAACCATCTGCTTGCCAGTGAGTCGCAGAATCTCGGGACCTTTCATCTTCTGCACATCTCGTCAAGTCTCTTCTGCACATCTGTTTCTGAGGCAGGGTACATTGGTGCATCGTTCCCGCTGCACACGACTGGATCCCAGCCTGAGCCGCGCGCAGACGCTTCAACTTGGTCGTCCAAAGAGACATAGTTTGAAAGGACCGATGATGACCGAAGGAGCTTCTTTTCGTCTTTCAACACCTTTAGACGTTCATTACATCCCAGGGGATACGTTGCAAACATTTGACAGTGGTTGACTGGGATTCTTTACCCATTTTGCCGTGAGTCAATTTACCTGTGCTGGGAGTGTCGCTGAAGAAACCGAGCATCCGCACCGAGTAGAGTGCCTCACAAAAAGAGTGCCCATCCGGTCGATGAGAATGAGGCCGACACATTGAAACAGAGCTTTCCTTCCACTTCCCAGGCACTTCCCATGGGGTTGAACTAAGTTGAACGACAAAGTGGATAGGTTGTATAGTTGAAGGATAGTCAAGTCCACAACCAGGGGGCCCTTCCAAACACCTCGCGCCAAACGCCTGCGGGTGGAGGACATGGGAGGCAGCGGGAGGTGTGAACCTCGAAGCGATTGCAGAAGAAAAAATGGTGGTGAAGGTTCTATTCGGTCACTCAAAGCTGATGAACATTCTACTTGGTAAAGCCAAAGAGTTACAGTCAGTGTCAGACAGAATGAAGGACCAACAGAGGTTGAAGAACCCTATAGGTAACCTGGGTGAATTGGACAGTTGGTACAGGTAACGCCCGTAGCCCGTAGCCAATGACCTGTCCCCATGAACGTCCAGTGCTTCGACCCGGCTTCAAAAGGACCAGCGCTGCCACAGCCGCAAAAACCAGCCTCAGTAGTGGACAAAGAAGTTTACGCAGCTTCGAGTTGTTGGGCATTTCGAGAAGATGATGCAACTACAATCAACGATATATTCTTGCAGAAATGCACATCTCATGAAACATCCTCGTATGATCTCACATGCTCTTATTGTTCACTGCCCAGCTCCTTCTTTCGGCATTCCTTTCATACTTCTCTGTCTCCCTTTCACTTGAACCCCCCCAAACAAAAGCTTGGGCACCTGCAGATTCCGGGCGTTGTGCTAAATTGTGTATGTGGATATAGCTGAGGCTGAACGGAAAAAAAAAAAAAAAAAAACCGTCCCTTTCAGCGGAGGTTTCGTCGCCAGGCCGATTGCGGGTCCAGTTTTGGCGGACCGAACTCGGACTGTCCGCATGATCGGGTTGATCATGTGCAACCGCTGTTGGCGCCGTCAGAACCCGGACGTACGTACCCGTGGCTGTATAGAGTTGTGATGATGATAGATATGCACCTGGTACAAAGTTCACATAGCAATGTCTAAAATGATTGCAAAGAAACACTGGAAACAACACTGGTGAAACAACCATCACAAGCTATCACCAGCCATCACCACCCCCAGGATTCCGCCGGATTCCCGGCTGCATACCAAGGGGCACCGCAGAGACACCACGCACGAGCCACTTGTTGGATTTGCCTGCACGGGACGAGCCGTCGCCCCAAACGGCAACGAGGTGGTTTGCCCAAACATCGGTGTGCCACATCGGGGTGAGGTATGGACGCTCCAGATCAAACATCACTTCCGATCGAACACTTGCTCCATTTGCCTGGCAAACAATGACACCTTCAAGCCATGACATGGGAGTATTTGGTCCTCGGCTCACCAGGACCACGAAAAACCCATACCAATTGCCCCGTTGGCCAATCACTGTTCGGGCTGGCGGCTTTTCTCACACTCGCAGCTTCTCGGACCGTCTTCGCCTCATAGATCGCCTCATGGTCTTCGCTTAATGGTCTTCGCCTGTGAGACCAGCAGAACCACTTTCGGCTTCGTGTCCATCTCACCCTTCAGCACCCCCCGCGGGCGCTTCGGTGGAAGACGATCGCCAGGTCTCCGATGGTCCATTCCTTGGAATCCATCGTAGCGTTCTCCAAGGCGCTTGGAGGTCGGATCGAACGCCACATCTTGGAGGGAGCTTCGGAGAGTTCGCCTTCAGAGCGTTGGATCGAGGCCCAAAAAAGAAGTGATAATGCTTTCTTTTGGAGAGTTCGACTGGTCTTAGTGCGACCGTTCTTTTCCTCCAACTCCACCACAAAACAGTTGCTACATTCCAAACCAGCCGTTTCCGTCTCGTCCTCAAGCACCTTCGTCCTCGCCTCGCTTCAGCCCTTCGGGAAGTGCCACAGCAACGTTCGGACCTGGCGGTGAGGACCCCTTGAGGAACAGGTCGCTTTCGATAGGCCTTTGTGAACAGGTCATTTGAGGATGTTTGGAGGGGTCCCTCTAGTCTGAGGGGGCCCACATCTATATATTGCAGCAAAGGTCAAGGCACAAGGATGCTCAAGGCCTCTTCCCTTGTGAGCTCTGAGGAGTTCGTCTCTAAGGCAAAACGGATCAACTTCTGGTGGTTGTATCGCACGTCCTGCAAGCATTATCACGCCCAGCCGAGAGGCAAGTGAACATATGCTCTCAGGTTGCCAGTGAAGCTAATCGGAATCCCACTTTCGCCAGAACCAGTTTGTTCACGGAAGTGCACATGACCTCCGTCCTCTGGTCGGAAGGTCCATTGCTCTGGATCCATGCAGTTTGCGGCAAAGGGCAACTGATAGTTCGCCTTGCAGAAAAAAATACATCTGAAGCACTGGAGATCGAGCTGAAGCATCGATCTGAAGCATCGCAGTTGTTGAAACGACTGGGACAAGGCACGATCTCCGAATAGAGCAGGGCCAGTTCCAAATCGTTCTTGAGCAAAGCAAGCTGGGAGCACATGATAAAGCTGCCTCGGCCGAACCCTAGTCAACTTTGGACATCATTGTTGGCCTCAACACAAGAACAACAACCAAAGACTACGTGGTGGTGGGTGGCGG